ATATATATATATATATATATTAAAATATGCATTAATTTAGCATCATCTTTGATACAAATGAACTAAAATGCAGTCAACACATTGATCCAGATTTTACTGAAATTGCTTGTCTACATATAATGGGATTATGGAGTATGATAATCTGGCTGACTGCCTGGATTCTCACTATTGTCTTCTTCATATAGTCAATAAATATAGTCATAGTCCACATATGAGTTACAGAGGCACCACAAAAATCAATTAAAAATACAGTCAGTCCCTTACCTTCTCTGTCGGGTGTAAGCTTTTGTTTAAGAAGGTGATTGACAATGGCAGTCAAGCATATGTAACACTGACGACCCATCGTGTTCCAGTTCATGGTGTTCAGGACATTAACTGCCTCGTGTATCTCATCGTGACGAATATACTGGTGGATGATTTCCACAAGGCCTAGCTGTCCTCTTGTGATCACACCTTTTACAGGAAATATTAAAACCAAACACAATGTTAAGAGTATTTAAACCAGTAATTGACTATTTTTCAGCACAGTTCAAAATAATTGCTGTTGTTTAAAATTAGGAAGTTTAAGTTAATGGACTTCACTATTAAATTTTTATGTGAGATAGCTCCTTATTATCTTGGTATGTTTGGACTGAGGGTGCTCTGGACAGCAGAGAAAAACCATCATGAACTTCATATACGGCAGTTGAGTGAAGGTGGCCAGTACCTATTGGTGACAACATTATGTAATGAAGTTTGTTTGAAACATAGTAGAAAAAGCTTATTCAAAGTTTATCATCATTGTATTGGAAGTAATCAGTCTACGTGCCACCTTCCTCCTGCAGGGAAATACTTCTGGACAACACTAAAAAATAGCATCTGTCTCACAGAAACATACCTATGTATACAAGTTTGCAGCAGCTCAAACTTCAAAACAGCAATTATTCAATTACTGTCCATATTGCAATTGCTCTAGAACTTACTTCTAGAGTGGCAAAATTCTTCAAGTGAAGTATTCCTTCCGTAAGGGTATATCACGAAAGATACCAACACTTAGGGACCTTTGCATTACACTTGCACATTAAATGAAGAACATGCTTGCATAAGGGAAAAAAATGAGCAATACATTCCTCACTCCATGACCACATGATTTATCTACAGCACTCCATCTCTGAAAAGTAGGAATTAAAAACCTCAGATTTTCTTGACTTGTAGGTCTCAGCTTCTGAACAGAAAAAGTGACTGAAAAGCTGCAGAGAGTACTGATCTCTGACTACTCATATGACCTTGTGACATAGGCCACACGTGGCATTTTAGCAACTCTTGCTTGCTTTGGGTCATTGTGCTAGAGTATTCTTTATCACTACTGCTCCAGATATTGGAAAGAGACCAGAATAAATCTGCTGTTCCACTCACTTTAAATAAAAATATAATGTTATGTTATTGTACCATTTGTATTTTGATGTTGTTTGCTAAAACTAATTTCAAGGAAAAAATTCTGAGAAAGGGAACAAGCTGAATTTCAACATTGACAGCAAAGCCATAGGACAGCTGGGGAGAAAAAGTCTGGTAACATAGAAAAGATGACCTGATATACAGAAAATACAGACACAAAATCTTCATAAATGTAGTTGTGAATATTGTTTGTGATGTAAAATAAGAACTGAGAAAAAAAAAAGTAGAGGAAAACAGAACATCTGACTATAGCTCAAGGATGAGTAACCTGCTGAGAACTTGCATATACAGATCTGATGCTTTGGGGGGAAAAAAAGTTTACATATTTATTTTTTGTAACATAGAAATACTTTAATTTTTAGTGCCATTAAAGAAAAGACATGGTTGTCTATTGTGTTTAACTTTACATTTGCATGTATTAAAGCCTATGGACATTATACTGTGTAACAGCCACGTTTAACCCATGTAGTTGGGATAAGATCTAATTGTTATGGTAGACTTCATTCTTCCTGAATGTTTAGTGCTTTTAAAGTATTACATAAGTTGGTCAATCTTCACATTAATCACTATGTGAAGATGAAAATACTTGTTTGAATGTTAATTACATGTAATATTATATTTAAAATGCGTTTCAAGGCCAGCAATGCTGAATCACTGGCACCAGTACCAAGTTTGGCATTATACAAGATCTGGGTTGACATCCACGACAGGAAGCCACAATGCTTTTGAAAATGAGTTTGGCATTAGACACCAAAAATATTTGCCATTAATGTTTGAGGGTAAATTTAATATGAATCTTTTCCTGAAACAAATCTGGCTAGACAGCACAATGGAGAATTCACAGAACTTGTCCAAAATCATAATATGTCAGCTGGAAGTAAAAAAAAAAAAAACAAAAACCACATTATTTGCCTATTTTCATTGACAGAGTTTCTTAACAGACTTTTATGGGAAACAATTCCAAGCCATGTGTTAATTACGGATTTTATTTCAGGCTTGAATGCCTGTCCATGTTTTGCTGTCATGGGCCTCTAAATTTTCCGTATAATTTATAGTTGCGTTGTTTCTTAAATAGCAGGGACCTAAAAACTGCTGAGGTTGGGAAAATGGGCTGGCTAATCACACAGCATTACTACCTTGGTGGTGTGACAAACTGAGGAGAGGAGCAAAGCCCAAAACCAGGAGGCAATAGAGAACAACGTATTTTTGCACAGAGGACTCTAAAGAGGGATGGAGGGAGAGCGCGAGCTTTGCCTTCTTCCTAGAAGAGATTTTACAGTAATTATACAGAATGAATTTTAAAATGTGATAACTTTCAGCTGTAGAGGTCAACATCTTCCCATTTGGATGCTTGACTTCTCCTGGGTGGTGCGCTTCCAGGCAACCTGTTTGGGAAAAAGAGGTGACAGCCAACTCACTGCCTAATTGATTTAGGAACGGTGCCCAGGGAGACAGTCCAATTAAGTTTACAAGCTGGCAATTAGCAGGAAAGGCCTCTAAATCCCTGCACTGAGAGCCTGCTTGCCTTCATAAGAACATAAATGTGCTAAAGATAGCAAGGGGAAAGCTGTGCTTTCTGGAAAGCTGTTGTGAGAAAACCCCACAAGGGAGGACTGAAGAAAAGCAAGGTAGATGTAGGTAGAGTACCTTGTGCTTGACAGGTAAGAGGTAATTTAGAGTTGGGTTTTTTTAAATGGCCAACATGCACACAAAAACATCAAATAGCTTTTATAATTAATGTTCTGGGGTACTCTGCAACTATTAAACCTGTCATTGGACATAATGCAGCTGAATTACCTCCAAATAAATGATAATTTCTAAACATTTTTTAACAGGTTTTTTGTTTTGTTTTGTTTTTTTATATAACCATAACAACCTGGATCAGCTCTTCTAAAACCATACCATTATATGTCAATCCAAAATTTTTCTTGCTAACATCCCATTAATTTACCTTTTTGCAGTGGCATACTTAGTGAAGTTTTAAAAATTCTGTCTTTCAAATGTTTAGGTCTGCAGTACTTTTAGGTAAGACTTTCCCCCACAAAAGCATGTGTATCTCAGTGAGTAAAGAAATAAAGTAGATTTTAAAAACTTACTGTCATTGAGGTGGTTGGGGTTTTTTTATTGTTTTTTTTTTAAAAAGGCTTTGTTCTAATCGCAATAGCTTTATACAAAAGAATCATAAAAAACTCCTGCAAAGAAGTACAAAGGCAATCCTGTTTCCTTGGACAGACAATGGGCAAAATGCTGAAATTTTCCAGGATGAGTCTATTCGACATGGCTGTCTGCCCTGTTGAAACACTGGCTTGGTAGTCAGAAGATTCAAGCATGATTGTTTTTCAGCTCCCACAGTGGGTCTGCACCACTGTAACTTGCCTGACTTGAATGGAATGAATGCAGTCCTCACTGCTGAGTGACTGCAGGGGTTTTATTCTTAGTTCAGCCACCGACTCGCTGTGTAACTCTTGGAAAGCCTTTTACCTTTACTGCTTCTTGTTATTGTTTTTAAAATTAAATAGTTATGGTTTCACTCTCTTAAGGCCTCCTTACACCTAAAATGAGAAGTGTTATGTAAATTCTAAAATTACTGTTATTCCTCCTCCTTTTATTCACAGCTCCTGGCAAATTAATTGAGAGACTAAACATCTCTGAAGGTTATGAAAATCTTCCTTCCTGTGTGAAAAGTCTTCAAGAAAAGAAACACAGTGTAACCTCGTGCTGAAATCAGGAAGAACAGAGTACTGGGACAAATACCCATTGTAATGGAAAGGACAGTTGCATCATGCACACAAAAAAATAATTCAGGAAAGAAAATAGCATTACTATTCTATTCCTAAATATAGCTTATTTTAGCTTGTTTGGGGTATTACTACAGAATGAATAAAATTCCAAAAATTATATACTACAGATTAAAGGAATCTACTACAGAATGACTACAATTCCAAAAATTATATACTACAGATTAAAGGAATTTTCCACATGAGAAGTTGTTATGCTTCATTAGAGTAGCAAGCAACATAACAGAACCCTGATCCAACAACAGAGCAGGGTCCTATTCTGTCAGACCCCATATGAAAAGATACCAAGTCATTGTGAAAAATAATTAACTCCTTGGTTCAAATCTTCAGATACCATTAGAACAACCACTTTTAAGGCTATGATCCCATATATCTAAAATGAGGGTGTTTCAATCTACAAAAACCTGTGAGGTGCAGATGTTTCCTTGAGAGCTCAAGGTTCAATGGATGTCCTCAGCAACTTACCAAGTTTAAAATGAAGTACTCCTAAGGGTCCTTTGTCGAATCTAACCAACAAAAGATCGTGAATCTCTGTGCCATCAGTGCTGGCAGATACAACCTGAGGACCAGCCCACTGGATCTGGATGAGGCTGCTAGGCACGTCAAAGTGTTTACTGAATTGCAGAGTTGCCTCAGGTGAATAGTCTTGTGCCAAGAGCTGAATTTTAATTGGAGACAGCGCCGTGTCAAAAAGCTGCAGCTCCCCTTGAGAGCTGCCAACCATGAATATGGCTCCGGAAGGGTGGTAGGTTATTAAAGCAGGCAGCAGTTCTGCTTGGGCTAACAGAGTCACTTGGTTGTAGGCTTCATACAGAATTATTGATGAATCTTCGCAACCCACGACTAGTTTGTCTTCTGTAAAATCTCTGCAACAGCTGATGGCCTTGGATCGTAGTGGTATTCTGGTGACTGCTGCACACTGAATTTTGTTCCTAACACACCTGTAGACAGAGCTGTCTGCCATGGGCTCTTTGTCTGAGGAGATGGAGTGCTCTACTGTGTAAACCTGATAAGGCTGATTAGTGCTGAAGCTAGCATCGAGTGGATCCCATTCGGTACGGACATAACTCAGAACCTGAAAAAGAATCCAAAATATTTTGTTAGCCATTTGTAACAATTTATTCTTACTTTGACGACTTCAAAAATAGATTGTTGCAAATATGCTTTCTCGTGGGTCAGTAAGCTAAAACAAAAACACGTTTTAGAAATGGATTTGTGAAACCTATTGTTTAAACTTGATTAAAACTCTCTGCAATATAGTTTGAGCCATATTTGTTTGTCCAGAGTATGTAATAAGTTAGCAGAATAGAAGATAAAAGAGGAGATGGTCCTAACAGTGTTGGTAAATGGAGAAATGAACAACTGACTGATATAAAAGAATAACTCATTATTCCAAAGTGAATAATAATTTTGGGAGAAATCCCAAAATTTCTGGAAAAAATCAAAATAGTTAACTTTGAGCATCACATGTAGAGGATTTTTGATCATTTGCTCTGGGCCATAGCAACAGAAAATATTACGATGTAGCTATAGAAACAATGGCATGTTTGAACAATGTATAATGTATAATGCCAAATGAGTAGGTGGTAGATTTTTTTTGGTGCCACAGAGCTGTAGATGCATAATAAATGAATTTGTAGTAGGAGAAAAGGAGGACCACTTGGAGTACTTAAGGATTAAATGAAATGAAATAAGAACACAAAGCTAGAATATGATACAAAGACAGCAGCTGGCAAAGAGCAAGAATTTGTAGTGTGGAAACAAGGGAAGTACCATAAAGTGATGGATGCAACAATCAAGACTCATGTCCTATAATATATGGCTTTGAGCAAGAGGTGTTTTTCAGGACTCGGGCAGGGAAGCTGTGGGAGAAATACCAGCTGCAAATAAGTTACAGATTAGCTTATGGCAGAGAGAGAAAACCAATGTCTTCAGAAGAATGAGAGTAGTGGAAAACAGTTAGAAACTAGATGGTGTCTGTTCATGCAGAAATAAAGAGTGAAGTGAAATCTCAAAGTGAGCCAAACCCCACCCTCAGATATACCCACAGCATTTTTCACACTACAAACTAAAGCTAGTTTTGGAAGCCCCGTCTTTTGAGTCCATGTGGTATACAAGTACCATTTAAACTGAAAGGGCTAACAAATGTGATCAAAAGGCAGAAAGGGAGAGAAAAAATAAACCTGCAAATTTCAGATTTAAAACAGAAACGCACACATAACGTTGAAGCGGTTTAAATTTGGTTTCCACAGATCACAAGACCAACTGAACACATGATTTAGCCTTTTGTCCTGCAAAGCAGGAGAACAAGAAATAAAAAATGTTTTGGCATACCAACCATTACTTCAGAAGCAAACCCATTACTTTATAAATTAGTTATTTGGGATGTTGATCAGATTAGTATATTTTGTTCCGACAGTTTGTTTGTTTTGTCAGCAAAAGGGTTTCTCATTCAAAGCAAAGAAAAAAGGATTATTGCAATTTTATGACTGCAAACCAGCTGCAGTCTTAGTTACTTTAAGATGAGTAGTTCAGGACATACAAAGAACCACTTAATGCAAAAGCATCTAACACAGAATCCAATGCACCCAACTTGTGAAAACCAGGTAAACCCATTTCAACAGAGTAGAAATCAATAAAAATATATACCAAAGAGGAAATAATAAATACTTATATAGCCTGTAAACACTTTCTCACCTCCACCATGGCGTCACCAACGATTTAGCTGTTGCAACTAGTTATTTATGCCCACAAAATGTGTAGTGGCTACTGTGCAGATGTTAGAACTGCTTAAATGCACAGCTTATTAGAGTGTTAAATTGCATAGCAAGGAAACCCGTAAAAGAGGTTATTGTGGACAAAGGATTGCTGTGACCACAGAGTGCTCTACCCCAAATAACGACAAAGTGAAGTATTATTGTTTGTTCTGCAGTGTTCCCTAAGATTATGTATAGAGACCCAGGTAGCTGCCTTTCAAATATGTGAAATAGAAATCTTGCCCAAGCAAGTCTTCAAAGCTTCCATAACCTCAGTGAAATGAGCCTTGAGGCCCTCTGGGACTCAGATTTCTGTCTTCCTGTGGCAGGTTTCAATGCACTGCATTATACATCTACATATTTTCATCCAAAATCAGTTTTCCTCTCTGGATATCTCACAAGCTCTGAGAAAGTCATGACAATCAACCCAATAATCAAGCCTATGAGAGCTAAAAGACTGAAAGTGCTATTACAAACTGAAGAGAGACTGGCCTTGAAGGTTAAGACAACAGAGAAGAAAGCATGTGAAACATGGATTTTGTAACTGCATAGGAGTAATTGCTGGAAAACAGCAATGAAAATAATCACAGAAAAATAAATATTGTCACCTGATTGTTTGAAAGTCAGCAAGCAAACTGAATCCAAGTAGTAGCCTTTTTCTGCCATGTTATAGCAAAAGCGGGACAAAACATTGCTCACTACCTTTTGAATTTAAAAGAAAGTAAGATCTTATATTTTAGAAGGCTAATTTAATGAGCCTTGAGATGAGAAGCTCCCTAGATTCACATAATTCGGAGAGAAAATCCTTGAAACGAAGTCTAAGGTAAGGTTTGTTGCTGTATATAACACAATTCTTGTCCTGGTTTGGGAAACTAGGAATAAGTTCCTGGGAGGAGAAAAAGACTATTTGCTGTATTTCAAAAGATAAGTTTCAATGTAATGTTTAAACAAATTAGGCTGAAAAGAAACTTTTCTAGACACTACTGTTCATACTCTGGCTGAAAACGAGAGAAACATTTCTTAGATTGGAGCAGATAAGCTGCTTCTCATGCATCAGTGGCCTCATGTGCCTCTTGGAGGAAGAGTAACAATCCCAGAGACCTCTTTGTTCTGGTTTCCAGTAACTGGCATCTGGCACTCTGAAATGGATATTCTCTTTCATCTGAGAGGGAAGATTTGAGCATCTCTGTCAGAAATTTCTTATTAATTCTTCATGCTGCTAACTGGGATACTAAAACAGAGACATATACAACTACTGAAACATGTTAATCAGGCTTAGATAATGCTTTTGAAAGATAAGAAGCCTAACAATCAAACCATCTTTTTTTCCCCAAAAAGATAGTACACCATTACTTGCCAATTGTTTTTCTATCTGTAGGTAGCCATGTGCTAGTCATTGCAGTGCACATAGTGCTTTAGCAGTCCATTTAAAGGAATCCACTGGGATTCCTTCTCAGAAAGCAGTAGTTCTCTGGAACTATGTTTTAATGTTCTAAAGAGGAACATTAAAAAAGCCATGTATCTTTAAGTCAGCAGAACATTTGCTTGGGGAATGGGAAGGCAAAAGCTGGAGGAGTTCCCTTAGAAGCGAGTAGGACAATTGCAGGATTTGCAGAGAAGGGGACAGGGCAGCAGATCTAAAATGACAGAGCTGTAACATCACACGGTGGGGTGTATAATCCCATCAACATTAAGGGCCTTCCATACATCTTGGACTAAGCACTTAGCCCTGGATTTCAAGGGAAGATTTCTAGAAGTACTTTGCATGAAGTAAACACAATGACTTTCTCTAAAATAAATAAGTTTAAAGCCCTTTTTAGTTTTGTGATATGCATGTTACAAAAATACAGTCCATGCATTTGCATATTGTCTGCATAACTGATGCATATTTCCCTTATTAATGTGGCAATCATGAACCACTCCTGCACATTTATAGTGTTTCCCCGTGCAGTACTGTGCATGTACCCATGCTCTGCATCAGCTAATCAGTACCATGAGGGATACTATACATGTGAGGATCTCAAATCCTAGAGTAAGAAATCGCAACAATCCAATGAAAGGAATCTGTTAATCTTCGTAAATAAGGGGCCTGAAAAACGCTAGTTAAAATACTTTCATTTTATATTTAAAAGAAATAATAGCACTACCTTGTGTGGGCAATATCGCTCTTCTCAGCGCAGATCTTTGAACACTTAAAATTGAAGTATTTTGCATAGAGTGCTGGGAAAGGATAAAGTCCACATATGAAAACAAATAAGAGTTTTAACCAGTAGTTCTTAAGCAGAAAATTGGCTTACCAGGCAGATAAAAAAAGAAAACAAAAGAAACAGAGAAACAAGCTTGCTGTGACTGAATTGTGTGTCTTTCAGATGAGAAAAATGTTTGATTTACTTTATGGATGTTAAAAAAATGCTTATTTAATTTCACACAGCGAGGCTCCAAATAACAATAACACTTTGATTAGAAATGTGGAGTGGGAAGCATAGCGCACACCAGAGTAAAATAGTTTTGAACACAGCACTGTGAAGATGGAAGAAAAAAACCAACCCTATTTTTAAACATTTCTAAACCAAAAATGCAAGGCTCCTACTCTAAGTTACTTATTTGGCTGCAGTATGTTTAGAGTCCCACATGTAATCTTACTTTCTAGACCTTAAGCCAACATTAATTCTTATTTTCTTTCAAAATTTATCATCACCATCTTTATCCCATATTATTCATTGAACTTTTAACCCAACGTGACATCAAGGATTTTACATTCTTTGCTGTATGTGTGTGAGAGGCATTTCAGCTATTCAGTCACACAGGGTAGATGTTTTACTGAGTGCTACAGTAACAGTAGGATAGCTCACTCATAAAAGAGCTGCTGTGTTTATTTCACAAGTTTGAGGCACAATCTGGAAGCAATAACTACTAAATATTATCTCTTGGGAGAAAGAAAAAGAATAGTCTCTTCCAGGCAAATTATTTTTTCTACAAGATTGAAGTATAATTTCAGTGATTTGCACTAGCACTAAATGAAGTGAAAAAAAAAAAAACAAGGTAAAGACAAAGTATAACGGTAACTGAGCCCTGGCATCATCAACTCCTGTTAATTTATGTCTGTAGAATAAAGTTCAAATTGATTTTAACACAACATTCAAAACATTTAATCCAAGAATGATTTAGCATCAGATCCTATTTATTCATGGCAAATTGTCTGAAATGATTTCGAGACGATTCCTCTTCTGGTTTTGAAAACAAAAAATACCAGTATTGTCTCCACAGAGAGACATTTTAAATAACATCCTTGATTACTGGTACTTTAACAAAGAAGTAACAAACAAACCCCAAATAATTAAACAATAAATTGGAGAACAGATAAGTTTACTGGAAGAAACCAATACTTGCAAGAAAGCAGACAATGGTTCAACAGACAAATACTCCTGCAGCAACATGCATGCATATATATGTGTGCATTGCACATTGAAGCAAAGTTGTATGTGAAAGCATTTTTATTTCTTCAGGGGACAATTTCTCACCAAAACTTACAGCATTCAACAGAGTAAACACTGATCTCAGGAAAAAAAAAAATGGAGTAAAACAAGTCAAGATTTGCAAGGAAGAAGTTCTTTCTGTTTTTAGAGAAATAATGTCTACCTATAGCTTTAATAGTAGCAAATGTTAAAACATAAAACACAGCACAATTCAAATCAAATTTATAGTGTGTCTAAAATGTAAAATGCCTTTTATCCACTAAGTTGAAATGCTATTTAAGTACACAATACTCCAAACATGCATCTGCAGTGTGAATCATCCCAATGCAGGTGGTGTAGTTACAGGATATTATCGTGACAAGGGGTTGAGTTGCCTTGTCCCAGAGCTATTCCTGCCCTCATCCTAATAAGCACTCTTCTGGTGGGCAACAAATACCACTCAAAAAAACTCTTCCAGGGATGAAGTAATATCACCTAAGTGCCCCATTTACCTTTGCTCTGCCACAACAGTAAGAGTGTCAGTAGCTGGCAGAGCTTTTTGTGGTTTTTGTAGGTCAGCACCAAGGTGCTGCAGAATGGCTGTGGGTAGCAATCATTCATTTCCTGGGGCTTGGTTTACTTCTTCATAAATCCAATATGCTAAGCAGCTCTTTAGGGGCTACACATTCAGCAATTCCTGCTTTTCTTTTAATTCTAGATAATAATGCTGGTTTATCCAAGCAATACTACTGTTTTCAAGTGAAATGTTGATGGTATTATTTTACTACACTTTTTTAAAGAAATGCTTCAAACAATCAGTTCATGTGTCTCATTCTTCTGTTGGCAATAATAATTTACTGAGAGGAAATTCACATTATTGGTCAAATATGGTAAATACAGATTTACTTTCATGCATAACAATGACATGTCATGATGTTATTCCAGGTCTATACCTGAGCAACACTGCAAATTGTAAGGACAAAAGAAGCAAAGAGGCAGTAACTAGAGAGTAACTGTTTAAGAAGCCATCTAGAAGCACTAACTACATTTTTGCTCATGTTTAAGTTGTCAAAAGTTAAAGGTGTTAAGTTAAAGTTCCACTCCAAGACTCTACAGGGGAAAAATGTACCTCAATTAATGGCATATTGGGGGTTGATGCTACTTCTAGAGCTGCTGGGTTATGACATCTCCCATCCATGCATGGAATTTAACCACTCTCCATAAGGAGCACTAGAGAAATTAAGAAGAAAAAACAAAACACCCAAACAATACCATAAGTTAGATGGCATGGATATATAGGGGAAGCCTATAGGCAGAGTGTCTTGAGCCTTACACAACAGCCCACTGAGCGTCCAAGAGATAAGCACATGGAACAGACTAATTGACAACTAGCAAGACAGTTTGTTATCTATATATGACTAAGTTTTTCACAGCCCTGGCACAGTGCTTGGTATTTTATTGACATATACAGGAAAAGAACTTTCATCCGAAGATTTAGAATTAAAACAGACAAGTACAGACAAAGAATTAGAAAAGGGAAAGCAACTTAACAGTTAAATTTGGCAGTTCTGCTTTTAAAAATAAATTTCTTATATTTATATTACAATATGGGCTAAATTAAAAGGATTATGTGTTTAGGCCTAGAGGCTCAGTGAATGCTTATTATCATTATTGTGTTAAGCACCAGTGATGTGCTCGGGACTATACTAGACAGCCTCAGCCCTGAGCAATTTAGAGTCTAAACCAGAAAAGGATAAAACAAGGTGTACTGAAAGATGCGGAGCAATGATGTAATTGGGAAATCTCCCTATAATATATAAAATGAAACAGAGAAAGCTTTAAACTGACAGGGTGGCTTCTGTGAATTTCTTAGAAGAAATGTGTCTCTTAAAAAAAAATCAGAAATAGAGAATGCAAACTGCTATGTTGGCATTAAGGACCTTTCTGGAAGACATGGGAAGGAAACAAAAGGCACGGGAATGTTGCTGTCAAAACCTGGACACAGAGAAGTCATGGTAAGAAATAAGATCTGAAATGTTAGTAGGATGAAGTTTCATAATATCAAACTGGCACAGGGACCGAGCTGGCAAAGGTTACAATGAAGAGGTGGACATTTTAGCTACCAGAGTAATTTTTATATGTGATTGGGCATAGCTGCAGGGGGAATTGAGAACTGCAGGTGTGTATCAGGCAGAGGAGAGAGATGAGTCAAAGATGACCGCTAGTGGAGAGAGGTCAATTGAAAAGAAGCGAAGAAGGCAGAACTGGAGGCAATTTAAACTTAAATTCTACAGTGACTAATGACTGAAATAAGAAAGAAAAGCTGTCTCAAGTACCTTTTTTCTTTTCTTTTCAATATGTAGAAAATCCCAAGGGAAAGAAACTCACTGAAATTAATATTAGTTATCAAAGTAATAATTGCAAGACATTAAAACATTTACACCTTCCCTAATTAAAGAGAACAGGATGTTGTTTATAAGAACAGCTTATTCTAAAGTGTTATTT